CAGAGATCGTTTCCGCACCGAGTCTATTGCTGCGCTGCAAGCGCTGAATTAAAGTAACAGCGCATTGTTTGCCGTAAATATGAACATGGATTGACACGAAAATTACACCATAAATGCATATTATTAAAGTCTACTGGGTTTCACAGTTAACACATAGCTTTTTGGCTAGGTTTAAAGGGAAATAGCACTTTTAGATAAACAAGGCAATAATAGATGGCACTTGTGGAGGTAGGAAAAAGTTCTTTATGAACCACATGATTGCTTGTAATAAAGATTCCAATGCAAAAGGAAAGGCAGTAGAGCTGACTGTTTCTGTCAATGGTAAGTTTGTGATAACGTAAGAAAAGTAGTTTAAATGTTTTACCAAACCCCTAGTTTTTGACAATATCTCTGGAATTTGACGCACCCCAGCAAGGGGAGGTTATCAATGGGCAAACAGCACTTTGCCTGTTACGTCGTTTGGGCTGTCTTGTTGAGCACGGGGACACTGAGAACATTATATTTCACACACTTTAAGCTCTTTTATTTTCCAAATGTATGCTAATAGGATTAATCTAACGAATTGTTCAGTTTGTAATGCGTACCGAACCGAAAGCCTCGTACCGAACTGTTCAATACGAATACGCCTATCGTTACACCCCTATTAATTAGTAATTTATTAATAGTTATTTACATTAATTGTATTTAATCTGCCAATACAGATAGTATATCATTGCTAACTCTGTGAGTTTATATATAGATCCATTTTGATGGCTGGAGTGAGGAGTATGATTTTTGGCTAGATGCTGATAGCCCAGATCTGCACCCAGTAGGCTGGTGTCAGAAGACAGGTCATCCTCTACAACACCCCAACGGTAACATACTGTTCGACACATTTATATACAGTGTTTCCACACATGGCCCTACCAGACTCATAATCAAACTCGTAATTATAACTATATCAGGTCCCAGAGATTCTCCAGTGCCTCCAGGACAAGGCTGCCCAACCCCAGGATGCAACGGAGTCGGACATATTAGAGGACCTCGGTATGGGACACATTACACGTAAGTTATACACATACTGTTGCAAATACAACCCATAATGTTCATTTAAATGCAACTGAGTCTCTTTCCCATTTTTAGGGTGGTGAGCTGTCCATACTCGGATGTGAATTTGAATAAGGACGGGCTGGTGCCGGACAGACTGAACGGGGAGAGGCCGGTCACGCTCAGTGGACCTCCGCGCCACCGCCGTGCTGAAACGCTCACTCAGACGCACCCTCCCACACCCAGCGCCAGCACCCCTGAAGCCCCTGACACCACCACAGACGCCTGTCCACCAGCTCGCTCAGTGCGTGAGCACGTTGTGTGAGTGTCATGAGTTACTTACAGTTTTACTTCTCTCTCTCCCTCTCACACACACACTCTCACTCCTCATCTCTTTCTCATTCCTCCTGTACTTCAGGTCTGGCAGTGCTCCCAAATGGGTCAAGCCACCTCAAGTGAAGCAGGAAGGTGACGGGAAAGGTACACATTGATCAGATTTTGTGATATTTTGGCTTAATTTGCATTTATGGATAATCCATAAGCTCTGAGAATGTTGCACATGAAGTCGTGCTCATCTTTTTTGCCTGTATGTGTTAAGTTATTACCTTATTATATTAACTTATATACAATAATTTGAATACACCTCTTCTATAAGCATTTCTTAATTCAAATTAGTTTGATATTTATGGTGGGTATGAAGTCAAACTTACGATATCATAATGAAGAAAAAAGCTTAATTAAAAGAACAAAATTCTTCAAAAGACATTTAGTAGTATCACAGTCTATTATTATTTCTTAGAGCAAAACTGCTTTTCTCCCTTTTGTCCACCAAGTCAGTGTAAGATAACCAGAAAAAACATAAAATAGGAAATTATATCATAGATATGTTGGCCTTCATGGCTGTCAAGGTCAGATAATTTGACCTTTTTGTAACAAGACTGTTAATATGTAAAATATTGTGTTGTGAGTCCTCAAAAACATTCAAAGAATTTCTGTAAACATTTCATTTAACTCATAATGTTTTACAATTATATATATAATATTACTTTTTTGCAGATATTAAGATGAATATGTGTACACTAATTTCAAATAAGAATCAAGACATTTAAACACCATATGAAACAGAGAAGAATACAAAAGTACATTTCTAAGAACTTGCCAAATGTATTTTCAACTAGTAACATTTTCTTTGTTGTGGACACGTTTGCAAACCATGTCACAAATAAAGTCTGTTTGTGTTGTAGATTCTCTTCAGCAGCTCCTGCATGAGTCTGTGTTTTGTGGATGGGAGCCACCGAGGTTTCATCTGTGTTGGGAAAAGCATGGAAAACTCTTGCCTGAAGCTTTAGGCCTCACGGCTAAGAGAGTGGCCAAGTGGAACACAGAAGAGGTGACATTTAAGAATTCTGGAAGAGTTCACCTAAGCTTTTAAAGAGGTCTTCTAAACGTATATATTTTTATTGGGTCTCTTTTGTTGATGTTTTTCTTTCAGGTGGCAAGTTTTGTAAGAGGGCTGCCTGGCTGCAGAGAGCATGCTGCCACCTTTAGGAAAGAGGTAAATGAAAAAAATGTACACTACCATTCAAAAGTTTTGCGTCTGTAAGATTTTTTTAAATATTTCTGAAAGAAGTTTCTTATACTCAATAAGACTGTTAAAACAAAAAACAGTAATATTGTCAAATTCTTGTTACAATTCAAGATTATGGTTTTATATTTTAATGTATTTCAAAATGTAATTTATTCCTGTGATGGCAAAGCTGAATTTTCATCTCCAGTCTTCAGTGTCACATTATCAGAATTCATCAATGCTGATTTAGTACACAAGAAGCATTTCCTCTTATCAATGTTAAAAATAAGTTGTGCTGTTTATTTAGCCATGATACCTTTTTTCAGAATTCTTTGAACATAGAATTTTTAATAACAATTTTAAAGTCTTCAGTGTCACTTGTGATCGATTTATTGCATCTTTGCTGAATAAAAGTGTTAATTTCTTTAAAAAAAATCTTACTTGACCCCAAACTTTTGAATGGTAGTGTATGTTGGACTCATTTAGCACTAACCTGTGAGTGTTCATAGACAAAGTGAATATGTACTGTATTTCAGATAATTGCTTTACTTTTCCCTACAGCAAATCGATGGCGAGGCCTTCTTGCTCCTTACTCAGTCAGACATTGTTAAGATTCTGAGCATCAAGTTGGGACCCGCTCTTAAAATTTATAATTCAATCCTCATGCTGAAGAGCGCAGATGAGGAGTAGACAACTCACAGCAACTGCTGCTCCATCAAACAACATGTCTCGCCCCCACCAACGTGTCCAGCAGACACAAATGTTCAATCATTGGTCTCCTTGTGATTGATGGATATTGACAGAATCAGCCAATTCAACAAACTTTGTGATCAGAAATATCACAGCTCCTAAAGGTTGATATAGATTTGATGTCTCCCTTTCCGACTCTGCACTCGCTCTAAATTAGGACTGATATTCTCTTTTGAAATCAATCATTTGATTCATATTAGACTCCGGGAGGGGGGAGTACACTACACTGAGGCACCTTAAATTGTTGAAAGCTTAAACTGGATTCTTTCATTGTTGATATTTATGTTTTTATGGTTGCTAAAATGACGGCTAATTACGATTGAAATGCACGACAGTGGAGCTTTTATTTGAAATGTAATTTTTTTTTGTAAAAATGCAAAAAGACCTTTGTTTGTAATTGGACACACATCCTAAATAATCCAAATGAGCCTGTTTGAGACCACTAGAGGGCAGCAGGATTGTGTGTGTGAGAGAGAGAGTGAGTGTGAAAGACTTTTGCAAGCATGTGTGAGTGAAATTTTTTTTTATAAATGTGTGCTTGCATCTAATGTCAGGGAATTCTTGCTCTGGGCAAATCTGGAATTGAATGTCTCCGTTTGTATTTACTTCAGATGAAATATTTGATCTTGTAAAATGCACTTGTTAAATTGAAAAAATTGTATAGTGAATTGGACAGTGTGCTGACACCATAGACACTGCAAATAGAGTTAGGAATAGAAATGAGGGGTGAAAGTGTGTGTGTTTTAAGCCTCTGAGACCCTGACATTTTGCATTGTACATGCATTCCTGAATACTGAGACATTTTGTTCTGTCATTCACCGAGCAAAAGCTTTTTGTGCATCTCTGACCTGCTGTATAATAGAGCTGTAATTCTCAACTCTGCTGCAACTGATTTTACATGTTGGAATCACTTTGTTTTCGTGTACTGGTTTGGATTTGCAGTGCTTCTCAAAGTTGTCAGTATACGCACATGCATATGCAGGTTGCAATAGGTTCAGAATAATAGATCCCGTTACGGTTGGAAACTGGAGAAAATTTTGAAAATGGGGGTACAAAAACGAAAACACTGAATAAATATAAATAATAGTCTGCAGATGCATTTGGCTAAGTAATAAATGCATTTGGATGGTGATGGAAAATTAAGATCTGGGGAATCCTCATCACAGTGGTTAGGGTCAAGGATGAGTTTATATCAGATTTTGATTGTTTTCTTTGGTTTATGTGTGTGTTTGTAGATTAAATGTCTCTCTAATCAGACTCTTATGTGTGACTGATTGTGTGTTTGTGAGTTTTTGTTTTTTTTTGGTCCAGTCTCAAATGGATGAATGGATAAATTGAAGGAGAGATTAAATACAGATTTCCAACATAGCTGTTTTGTTTATTTTTTACATAAAAAAATTATTTTAATACATAATTCAATCATATCCCACATGCTTTTATTATACCAAACTGAAATTTTAAAAGGTAACACTAAAAGGTAAAACATACTGTGTTTGAGAGCAAAAATAATCAGATTGTAATTAAAAAAAATAAAAGATTGTTTGAACTTTTGAATTACAAAAATAAATTACCTGATAACAAAACTTTGCACTGTGACTGAATCTTTCTGGTTGTAGTTCTCACGCTTTTCATTACACAACCATAAAAACTAAAAAAACATGAAACTTTTGCTTACATATTTGACACATTGTGTAATAATATATGGTGTAGAGAGTTTTATCAATTATTTTAAGTAGACATTAATAATTTTTTTATTACAATATAAATACTTTTGCTCTCAGACACTTATGTTTGGTTGCATAATAAAAAAACAGAAGTAACTCCACATACTGGGCATATAGCCTACACTACGGAATCTCAAATATTGAACATTCATAAATGCCCAATCTGAAGTCATATGAATAGGAATATATATTCTAATAACTTAATATAATACATAATAACAATCTGAGTCAGTCAGGAAAAGTCTTGAAATGGGCCTAAGTCCTCTGAGACTCTAAGAATAGGTTATTCTGCCCACCGTGGGACCCAGCGGGCTTGCACACATGTTCCCATGACCCTCTAACCACACTCTCTCTCCCTCGCTCACTCTCACGTCACTGGCCGGTTAAAGTAAACGCGCCTCGCCTCGCGCTCGCGATACACGCGTCTGCTAAGGACGGAGATTGATGGATTAGCGCGTCCCCATCATCATGGGAATTAGAGTAGAGTCGCGTATTTGAAACGGACCGTGAACCATGTGTCTCCGGTGGAGGAGAAGCTACTGAGGTGAGTTTAAGGGAGTTTAACTTTAGGTGGTGATGTGTGGACTTAGTATTTCTACAGCACGATCTCTATGGGTATGAAAACAAGTGTACTGAAAACCTGCCACTCTTACTGCGCTTGCGTAATATGTTTGTTTGACACCACAAAGTTTGCTACTGTAAATGTGCATTTTTTCCATGTTAAAACATTTAGCCAATCCCATTGTAATGGGGCAGCTTTAATTAAGCCATTTTCATGTTGATTGCAAAAGTGAAAGTGGCGCTATCATAACATTAGGCCTATTCTGTTTGTTTGAGAATCCAATTAGCCCAGTCTAGAAATATTGACTTAACCAGTTGCATGAGTTTAGGGGCAAACCTTTAATTTTTTTCAAGTAATGTTAACCACTGACTAAATCTGAAACCGCTATTTTAAAAAACCATGGGAAATTATAGAGGGAACCTATGGTGATCTCAATTGACCTTATATGTGACCCTGGAGCACAAACCCAGTCATAAGTAGCATGGTATATTTGTAGCAATAGCCAACAATACATTGTATGATCAAAATTATAGATTATTCTTTCATGCCAAAAATCATTAGGATATTAAGTAAAGATCATGTTCCATGAAGATATTTTGTAAATTTCCTAACGTAAATATATGCAATAATATGCATTGCTAAGAACTTCATTTGGACAACTTTAAAGGCGATTTTCTCAATATTTTGATTTTTTTGCACCCTCAGATTCCACATTTTCAAATTGTTGTATCTAATGTATTGTTGTAATATAATATTTAACCAAATATTGTCCTATCCTAACAAACAATAGCCTACATCAATGGAAAGCTTATTTATTCAGCTTTCAGATGTATATATGATGTATAGAAATGATGATGTGGAGATGATGTGGTCCAGGGTAACATATGAATAAACAGTTTAGTGGAAAAGAAAAATATCAAAATAGTGGTTATCGTTACACAAAATTATGTTGTTCGATTAAAATATGTTTATAAATACCATTCTAACATTTTTGCAGTGCCAATGCAGTGTCATTTACAGATCAGTGCTTATGGTTTAGAATTTGAGTTGGATTTGTTTGTATGTCCTGATTAGAAGCACTGGTAGTTAAAAATAATGATAATTATGGTGGCCGAGAGAGCTCAACGCACTGCAAATGAAAAAAAACACACACACACACACACACACACACACATGTAAATAGAAAAAACACCTGCAAATTAAGAAAACATATTAATCAATTTGGCATCACACACGCTGCAAATGCTCACAACTCAAACAAAAACAGAAACATGCTGCAAATATAAATATATAACATAGTTAATTTTAATTTTGTTGAGGTAATATTGTTGTGGTTTGTGCTACTTGCACGTTTCTGTATATTTGGTTGGGTTGTGAGTATTTGCAGCGCGTTTCTTTGTTTGTATTGTGAGGATTTGCAGTGTGTTTTGTATTTGGTTGTGTTGTGAGTTTGCATTACATGTGCTGTCAAACTAATGAAGATGTTTTCTTAATTTGCTGGTGCTTTTTCTGTTTGCATGTGTTTTCTGAAGTTGCAGTGCGCTGAGCTCTCTCGGACACTGTAAATAATAATAAATTGTATCTTCTTAAGAAATTGGTTACAGCGATTCTGCATCCTGATATCTATTTTCTACAACAACAAAAAAAATGCTACCCATGATTTTAACACAAGATGTGTCAAGAACAAGGTAGGACATTTTTATTGTAGGATGAAAAAAAAAACATATTGTTAATTGCAATTGTGTTTTTTATATACAAAGGTTAAAATAAGAAAACCGACAAAAGTAGACAGACTGCCTTATTGAGCAGAGATGAAACATCAGACAGCATTTGGAAGGAACTGGAAGTACAAAGAACTTAAAAAAAGGATTATACAAGGATTGTCATGGATTAGTTGTCTTGCCCACAAATAAATGCTTCTGAGAAACTAGGATTATTGTAATGATGCATGCTTTCAATATGCAAAAACTCTCAGTATTATCATTTAAAAAGACTATATGTATGATAAATGTTCTATAAAATATTATTTTTATATTTATATAAAACAATTTTATATTTTATATATTTTTTAAATAATACATTTATCAAATAAAATTAAATTATAGTTGCAAGTATGGAGAGGAATTAGCTTATGTGAGAATAACCCACTCACTCTTTACTTTTTAACCAACTACAATTTATATTTAAATCTTCCTTTAGTATTTTGTACCTTTTCAGGGTGATTTTATTGAGTATTTGAAGTTCATTAGCCCATTTTATGCTTTTTTTTAGGAGAATGTCTGAGATAAATGCTCCCACAGAAAAAGTCTCTATAACAGCCCCAGAGTTGGAGACTCCGCCTTTAAGGCCAGATACAGGGCCTGTGATTGGTGGACTGCATTTGCGATCTGCACCAGGGGCTTGTTTGTTGTTTGCGGGTGTTTTGCTGATAGTAGGAATCGGCGTCGCTGTGGGGGGGTATTGGAACAATCAACCCCGCCGACAAACGCCACATCATGTTTCAACTGGACGCACCTCTTCAGAGAAACTGAAGCTGATTGGTCCTGTCATCATGGGGGTGGGGCTTTTTATCTTTATTTGTGCCAACACAATTCTCTATGAAAATCGTGACCGAGAACAACGTCATAAGCGAGACCAACATAAAGACAACCAGGAGATCCTACCACTGGTACAAACTCAAAGGAACAATCATTCAAAACGGTTCTCACAAACAGAAACGAACACCAACACGCATACATTGGACTTGTCTGAACTCAACATCCATTGCTTAGAGGAAGGGGCCGGAATCCCCACCCTAAAGTGTTCTTCGCCATCCTCTGGCTCATGTAGCTCCAGTCAAGTGAACTTGGAAACCGGATCACCCCTCCGAGATCGCAGAAACATGGAAAGATTGGCCTTGCCTGTCATTAAAGTCAATGACTGTCTGCTTGGCTCCTCAGACCCAGTGCCTCCACCTCTCCCTGATCGGACATACCGGAACAAGATGGGAGTGGAAAATATAGCAAATGTGGAGCTAACACAAGTGAATCTTGCAGATTCATCTCTAATGATATTGAACAAAGAAGAGCCAAAGGATCGGTAGACTTTACCGCCTGCAGTCCACACTAAGGTCCACATAGTGAATATATTGAATATATTCAAGCCAAAAGATGTTAGGGTTGAGTATAGAACAGATTTCTCTATTTGATTCGATTCTGATTCATTTGGGTGTATTTCCGTTATAATGTCCAATTTGCTTACAGTTCTTTCTTTGCTAATGCTGTGATTATATAGTGTTTCAGATGGATTCAAGCTAATCTTTTTGAACCCACTTATTTGCATGAATCAGCTTCACTGGTCACGCTGTATGTTTTTGATTCACCAAAAAGAACTGACTCATAAGAGTCATTTGTTCGTGAATGGCCACGTATATCTGTTTATACAAGGAGTCATTTTATGTTGTCATATTGCTGTACTAGGGCTGGACGATATGGCCAAAATTTATATCACGACGCGTTTTGATTTTGAAACGTGCAGTGCTCATGTTTATTCAACGAAGTCAAACGCCACAAATAAATCAATGTATGGGAAACACTGGTAATGTATATCAAAATATCGGAAATGCGTTTAAAAATCATATCACCGTTATTGAAAAAAATTATATCGCGATACATATTGATATTGAATTATTGTCCAGCCCTATGCTGTACAGTCTTTTTTATTACATCACAGTATACAGAACTCCCATTTAGCTTAACCATTTAGGTTAACCCTTAGCTTAGGGTTTTCTGACAGAAATAGTTGATATTCATGTAAGTGGATGAATACATAGAGATTTGTTTTTTTTAAGGTTTTGAATGAATCTTACTTTGTATTGTCACTTGATTCTGGTGTCTTTTTTATATAGTTGCTTTGTTTTGTTTGAATAATGGATTGTTACCTGACTTGTGAGAGTTGCGTAAGGCTTTGTAGATTTTTGTTCATGTGAATTTTAAGTAATCAATTATATATGATCCTATTTTTTCATGTGGTGCCACCCACACAAGCCCAAAAGAATAGAGACTGTGCTATGTGTCATTGTGTTTGTAGTGCTGGTCTTTATAGTTCACATAAATGTCAGAGCAAAAATGAAAGGCGGCCACCTGTGATACACACATGTGCATGCATACAGCTTCTCCTTCTCCTGTCTTAACTGTTCTGCATCCAACATGCTCAAATTCTTAGAGACTGAAAGACAAGCTTTAAGCAGTTGCAGTCACATGCAGTCATACAGTAGCAAGTAATCCTCTATTTTGATTAGTTTGGGTTAATCCTGAACTATGCTATTGCTGCAAAACCAGTACAGCTATCTGATACCCAGCAAAAGTAATGTGGATTAAATTTGCTTTAACAGTTCACTATACACTAAGGAATGAGGGTTTATCTGGTCTAGTGAGCCCCTGCTGATGAAAGTTGTAACTAAATTTTTTCCCTTAGTAATTTTGTCTTGTTTTACAGCTAAATATCTAAAAAAAAAAAACTGAAAACAAGATAAATTAACTTATAAATTGAAAAGTACAGTTGTTTAAAATAAGAATTGTTTCCAGAGATTCTGAAATTAATTTTTCTTAAGTTAATTCTCAAAATAAACACACCTCAAATTTGGCAGTGCATATGACAGCTTTTATTCCTTTTGAATATAACTGAATTGGTGTAAGCAGTTAAAATAAACCAAATGTAAGCCTGAGATGAGATTTTTTAGTCTGAAGGTCTACACAAATTAAGTGATGCTTTTGACATACTGTTGTGGACATGATTACCAGTGTATAAGGAAACATCTACCATCAACAATGTTAAATTAGATTGATAAAATATAAGAAAAATGCAAAACAGAATTACATTCTACTGTATAAAACATGCAAAGCACATTTTTCAACATATTCACATCCTTGAATGTTTCAGCAGGGATTATATGTAAGTGCATAGATATCATAAATTTAAGCTGTTAGAATTCACACATATATTATCTCTTGAGAGCGAAACAAGACTGTTTTTCCATCTTCTTCAATCTGCAAAAGGAGATGTTACAGTCAGTATGGGTTTACAGACTCTTTTCTTTAGCTTAAACACATTCCTTGGAATAATAAAGCTGTATGATACTGGACACATTCCTAAGTTACTCTCACATCTAGATACTGTAGATGAGTGATTCTCAACCTTTTCAACACCAAGGCCCCCCTTTGTCCAAGACAATATTCAAAGGCCCTCCAATCTACTGTAAGCTGATATGTAAGCCTGTACTTCTATTATAACTAAATAAACTCAAAATATAATATCAGTTTAATGTGGTACATCTCTACTTTTAGTGTTTTTAACATTTTAGTTAGGATTCTGTTAATTTGACTAAACTCTAAATAAATGTAAGACCTATTGGGGCTCCCTGGTTGAGAACCACTGATGTAGATTGTTTGTTAATGTATGTAACTTACTAAGCCCATTCTCACGAGTATCTCTTCGTTGGCATGTGGGAACTGAGCTTTGGAAGTAGGCGAGTATGATGAGAGACGTCTGTCCCATTCAGTGGGTCCGAAATCTAGCTTGACCTCCATAAAGCCACGCTTAAGTTCAGAAATGCTGGCATAGTGCTTCAAAATCATCTCATGGGACACATCAAAATCCTAAAAAGAGTATATATTGGAAGGATTGATTAGACTAGACAAGCCTTCTTAAATCCTTAGCGTAAGAACCAATATACATTTCACACACCTCCAGCATCAGAATGCTGTGACGAATATAGATGCTCTCTCCTTCACTTCTCCTTGTCTACAAAAACACAAGACTGTGGATTAATATGCTTTGGATAAGAAGGAACATGACAAAAATGATAGAAACAGATGAGTATCTCACCTTCCTCATGAGCACCGACTCAGTTGCAGATTGCTAATATAGAGAAAGATCATTTTAGACGATTGAAACTTGTGGAACTTTGACATATTGCTCTTGTGTGTATGTGCAGTTTGTATGTGTGTGTTTGTAACCTCAGACTCCAGTGTGATGTTCCATAGGTCTTTAGTCCTCTCCTGATAGGTTTTTGTAATGGACACAGGTTGTGCGGTCGGAGTGGAGGTGAGTGGTTGGTCAGCTGGGATCTGTGGGCGGGGTTTGGGCGGAGCCACTGGGGAAATAACAGGTGTGGGAACTAGAGACAGAAGAAGAAATATTCAAGAAGACATGGTAACAGATGGACTGACGTTAGAGAATATTCATTTCTGATGTCTTGTGTGATTCATACCGTAATCTTTAGGGGAGATGACCATAAGTGTGAACCAGCCGTCCTCCGCTTCTGTCTGCAGTTGTACTGGTTTTTTCTCTGGTACAGATGGTGTTTTTGTTCTTTCCTCTATTTTTATCTGCCTCCTACTCTCTTCTTCCCTTCTCCTCTTCTCTTCCTCAGCCCTCCTGTCCACTTTAAGGACATCTGCAACAACTTTAAAGAGAGTAGAGAATAAGAATTTGTTGACAAAGACTGCCAGTTGTGTGATCATGTAATCTATCCCACTTATATGTTGTTACTTTGTATATTCACAAAAAATATATATTTGGGGTTTAGTAAGATTTTTTTTTTTTAGAAAATAATAATTATATTATTCAGCAAGGACACATTAAATTGATCAAAAATGGCAAAAGACTTTTACATTGTTACAATTTTACATTCTTTTCCCACAAGAATAATAAGCAACTGTTTTCAACATTGATAATAATAAATGATTTTTGAGCATCATATTTCTATATTAGAATGATTTCTGAAGGATCATTTGACACTGAAGACTGGAGTAATGGTTGTAATGACATTTAAAAATTATATTAAAATAGTAAAAAAAAAAGAGTAATCGTAGTATTCCACAATATTACTGTTTTTACTGTATGTTTGACTTTAGTGAGCATAAAACAATCTTACTGACCACAAACATTTGATCAGTAGTGTATATTTAAAAATATATAAATATATCAAATGTGTACATACCTGTTTCTTTTGGTGAAACATCAAAAAGAATGAACCAGTCGTCATCTTTTTCAATCTGAGGCTGTGCTTCTGTCTTCACAGTAACAGCTGGTTGAGCTCTTCTTAATTCCAGCTCCTGTTTTCGCTTTTCTAGTTCTCTTAGTCTCTTCTCCTCCTCCTCTCTCACTCTCATCTGCTGCTGTCTCACTCTTCTGTCTTCCTGTTCTTTCATCCTGCGCTCTTCAGTAGCCACTGCAACTGTAGATCAAACGTATAAAGGTTTTACTAATTATAATATGTCTTTCACCTGAAGCAAATCAGACATGCAGCTCTTGTAATCACCTGAAGGGACGCTCCTCATCTCAGGAGGTGCTGCATCCAAAAGCTCAAACCAGTCATCGTCAACTTCCCGAACCCCGACAGGAATCATCTGCGGAACAACGTCAGCTCTCTCTCTGTGTTCATCAATGATCACTCTCTTTTCTTCAGTGATCAGTCTTTTCTCTCTCATCTGCTCATCCACCACTCTCTGAACTCTCTGGTCTTTGATGGGTTCACGGACCTCAAAATCTCTGCCTCTGACATCTGAAAGAAGCACAGGAAACACTGGGGTTTGCATCATGAGAAGCTTGTGAAATGATTTGTACCCTAAATTTATTTAAAACACGTAAAACTTGCATTTATGAGAAGCATGTATTAATGATTCTTAGTAGTCCTGAGTAAAAACATTTTAATTATACAGTTTACAGTAAAGTTGTATATGTCAGTTTTAACACATAAGGTATCATGATTGTTTTAATATTCTTTGTTAAATATTCTGGTATACAATGATAAAATGTATTAGTAAGTGGTTTTTAAGCCAATTCAATCCAGTCATTTGTATTTTTGTTGCTGTATGTTTGTGATAGTGTTTAGGCATGTGTGTTTCTGTACCTGATGGGAAACTCTTCTGCTCATAAGGAACTTTGTCAAAAAGCTGAAGCCAGTCATCATCAAAGTCTCTGGGCATGACTGGAAACTGTGGGGTTTGTATGATGCTTGTCCTCTTCTTCTCTGGAACTATTATTTGTTCTTTAGTGCTCACGGTCATCACCTCAATCACTTGCTCCTCTGTTCTCACTCTGCTCTGAATCACCTCCTCTTTGGTCTCCTCATACAGCTCAACAGTTGGAGCTTGCAGCTGTGGATACACCAAGGGCTCTGCAACAAATCAAACCCATGATGCGTGTTAAGATATGTGTGTTTATGTTTGTGTGTGTGTTCTTGACTGTGGTTGTGTGTAAGTGTTTGTACCTGATTCTTTAGGAGAAACGTCAAAAATGATGAACCAGTCGTCCTCCACGTCTCTTTGAGGTTGAGCTGTCCTCGGCTCAAGAATAACTGGCTGTGGCCTCCTATCTTCCACTGTCACCCGCTCCTGTTTCATTCTCTGCACCTCCTCTGTTCTCACTCTGCTCTGAATAACTTCCTCTCTGATCTCCTCATACAGGTTTGCAGTTGGACTTTGTAGATTTGAAAGAGTCAAGGGCACTGAAACGTATGATTTATGTATGATAAATGATAAATGTATGATTTATGGTTTGATTTGTGTGATTGTGCATAATGTGAATGACTGTAACTGTGTTGCATGGAATTTAATTATAAATGCATTTTTTTCCCCTTTCATTTCCTGAACTGGAATTCAATTTGGACACAGAATTTGAATTAAAGTGAAACTGAAATGGAATGAAATTCAAAGTAATTCATGTAAATATTTAATAATATACTTAAAATTTCCCAAAACATTATATTGAGTTTTAATTCATTTTAATTCAGAAATTCGTAAAATTTCATTTTTATGAATTATGGTTTCTGAAGAATAATCAGAATTCACTGAAGACTGGCGTAATGGCTGCTTTGCCATCATATGAAGAATAATTTACATTTAAAAATATATTAAAATAGTTATTTTAAAATATTACTGTTTTTACTGTATAGGCCTGCTTAAGTAGATGCAGCCTTGGTGAGCAAGGTGACTTCTTTTAAAAACAAATATGTACAGCACAGCATATTTTAATGTATATATTTTTATAAGGTTAAACAACATGGTGGACATTTAGTTATACTTTGTGTCAAAAACAAAATCTTTAGAATGCTATGTTAATTGTTTTGACAGTGTATTTGACTTACTGAGAAATAAGTCTTCATATCAGGGAAAATAGGCATAATTATTATGTTAGTCTAATACAGCTGTGTTTCTTTTCAATTCCGTAAATTCCTCTTTCTGTCACTTAAATTCACCTTACTTTGAGTCATGGCCAGTTCAGTTACAATAGTGTTTGTACCTGATCCTTCAGGAGAAACATCAAAAATGATGAACCAGTCATCCTCCACGTCTCTTTGAGGTTGTGTTGTCTTCTGCTCCAGAATAACGGTCTGTGGTCTCCCATAATCCACTGTCACCTGCTCCTGTTGTTTTATTTGCTCTGTTCTCACTCTTCCCTGGATCACCTCCTCTCTGGTCTCCTCATACAGCTCAACAGAGGGCACTGAAACAAACACAATCCATCATGCATATACTAATTTGTGAGTTTTACACGAGCGTGTGATTATGGTTGTGTGTGAGTGTGTGTACCTGATCTTTTAGGAGAACCATCCAAAACAACAAACCAGTCATCCTCTTTGTCTATTTGAGGCTCTGCTGCTCTCTGCTCAAGAACAAATGGCTGTAGTCTCCTATAATCCACTGTCACCTGCTCCTCTTGTTCTTTCTGGACCTCCTCTGTTTTCACTCTGCTCTGAATCACCTCCTCTCTTGTCTGTGTTTTTGTCTTCTCGGGTGTCACCAACTCTTGCTGTATTTTTCTTTCTACCTCTCTCTTCTCTTCTTCACGCTGATCTTCTTCAGGAGTGTATCTGCTCACATCTGGTTACAGAAACTCATTTTAGTGGTTGAAATTTGTTGAGAAGTAGGCTATTTTAAAATCCTATTTATGCATGTTTCTAGTGTTATAAAGAGCGGTCAGGAAGAACACATTTGCTCAGCTACTCGCAGGGAAACAGATGCAACTTATAAGGAATAATGTAGACAGTCACTAAATGGACATGAAATATTAATTTCAACTTTATCTTTTAATAATAAAAATAAATAAAACTGATTATTCACTTTTTAATATAAATGAGCTTTTTTATTAAAATAATAATTTTCTTAGCTTTCACTTAGAAAAACTATAACGATATAGCAGTTTTGAAAAAGATTTCAACGATTCCGCTGTCATTATCATTACAGTTGTGGTGCAGTTCACTATTCTCATTGTAGGCTATTATAATGATTATTCAAACTTTTTTGCTATAGTTATCTTTCTTTGTGCGAACGGGCCTAAAGACCCTACTATGAGTATGCGTTTCCAAATTCAGGAGTCCACAGTGTGATAAGAGATACATGAAAGTAGTTATTTTAGTTGGACGATGGTAAATATAATATATCTGACCGCTAGCTGGCGCAAAAAAGAATAAGGTATTTCAGAGAGCCGTGTAATAAAAGGTAAAGGTTTTTCATAGATACCTTGAAGGGAGCGCGATATTTCCATGGTTTTTGGAAGCACATCAAATAGAATGTACCAATCGTCATCTTTTTTCATTGGTTGGGGAATATACACTATCTGTTGCAACTCTTCTTGAACTCCTCCTGAAAAAATGTGATGTATGACATTCTCAGTTTTCACCTGAGGCATTTCAATTAACTTTGAAACTTAAAGCATTTCAAGCATTTGATGAAAAGCAATGAACACAATTTCTGGTGAGAGATGCACAGCTGATCACATGACATACCTGTGGCGGTAGCAGTGAGCATCAGTGGCCTGCGATCTAGTAAAATGTACCAATCATCTTTCTCCGCTTGTTGAAGCTCCTCCTTCTCAACTTGCTGCAACCTTTGCTTCAAACTTTCCACTTCCTGTAATCCAAACCGTAGCTCTTCCACCTCAACTAGCTTTTGCTTGATAGCGTCCACCTCTTCTAGTCTCTGTTCCATGATTTCCAATCTCTCAAAAGTGTCCTCAGATCCCAATGTCTTATTTTCAGTGACTATTACACGTCTTTCCACCAGCTCCACCCTCTCTATCTTTTTGTCTACAGCTTCTTGTGATTCCACCAAAGAGTTGACTTCCTGTGTCCACTGTTTAGTGATTACTACCCTTTGTATTCTTTCTCCATTGACTTCTAGTACTTCTTCCTTTAGTGTCTCCTTTAGCGGTTTCATGATTTCCTGTTTTAATTCAAAATCAGGAAGTTCTTTCTCAATAATGTCAGACCCCTCCTGGACAACCTGAATTTTATATGAATGTTTTATCACAAGCTCATCGGTGAGCGTCTCCTCTAACCCCTCCATAACTTCCACATCTTCTCTCCGTTCTTCAGTCAGTAAAACTGGAACAAAATGAACCAAAATCACCAATCACAGCTCTTTCCTTGAGGGAATGTCAAGTTTTAATGGAAACTAAAATATTTATTTATGCACATCAGTCCAGTGGGACTTGGACATTTCTTCAGGAGTGTTTTGGAAAATGTCAGCCCAGCTTGCCCTTTTATCCTTATGTCAACAAATTTACCAGGTGGCTTGACTTTTTGGTATGTGGTGAAGTGAGAAAGCCTAAGTTAGATTCAAGCTCCAGAAATTGCATAAAGCCTATACCAAAATATATGGAAAATTAGAATCAACAGGTTTCAAATATGTTAATTATCTATCTATCTATCTATCTATCATCAGAGTCTGTGCCCTTCTATAATGTACACAGTGGTCTTTTGGTAGCGGTAAAAAGACTTACATGGGCTGCCGTCAAGGAGAACACACCAGTCGTCTGGCTGATGCTTCCACTCCTGCAACTTCTCATTTTCTAGCATGACATCATCTGTACAGGATGTTTACAGTTCATCAGAAAATATTTTTTTTATATTTTCAAAAAGAAAGAGAAGGGAAAAGACAAGACCAAAAATTCTATAATGCAAATGACTGTGTGTGTTTGAACACATGAATTATTAATTAAAATAAATTAAAGTATGTGTTTGACATGAGATCAAATGTATTTGTTGTCAAATGACAAGAGCAAATAAAAAAATTCTGCCTATTTATTTACTATACTCTGCTCATAAAAATGACATATTTATAAGGCAGTCAGTTTTTTTTTCATTTAGATTATTATTTTAATTACTACTTCAATAATTTTAATATGCCTCACCTGATGTAGAAATGCGCCATTTATCTGGACCATAGACCAGGAACCAGTCATCCAACTCTGTTCGAACTGGTTGTTTTAAAATATCAAGAATTTCTTTGTTTCCTGAAAATAGATATACCATTTACCTTTGTCCAACTAAAACTACTTGCATTTAATTAGTTAATCAGATAGATAGATAGATAGATAGATGCCTTTTCTCTTGATGATAAAACGTGTGAATCGTGGAGGAGCCCGGGTGATGTTGCCGCAGGCTTCCAGACACTCAGACTGAGTGCGTCCATGGAAACGGAACCTTGAACCCAAGGTCAGGAGCCTTTTTGTTTTTGTGTCTTGAAGTCTATTTCTGAGAAACACATTCAGAGGTATGGTCTTAAGTCATGTTTCTGAGCATGTTTTTACTGTGTGTAATTCTTTCGAATACTGTATTTGCATATATTTCACTGGAGCGCCCCCTTGTGTTTCTAATGGTCATATGGATAGATAAAATGCTGCACCTTGTTAAGCCTTGGTTTTGTAATACATATACATGGACGTACCTGAAGAAACTATGATGTTCTACACAGCATTTCCACAGTTGTTTGCAGGCTCGGTAGCTGGCCAAACTGAAGCTGATGGCACCCTCAAACTCATCCTCCTAAATCAGGTCACATGGAAAAATGTAACCCATATAAACCCGACAAAACTCCTGAGTTTGTCACTACACCAAATGAGTAAAGGAATGCATAATCCAACACTAATGTAGAAAATAAAGAAGTGGTTTATGGAGAATAAAATGAATGTGCATGAATACCTCAGAAGGGCGCATCTTCAGAAGAAAGGTGCTGCGTTTGTGGGAGATTTTAAGAACTCTGGGCCAGAGGAAAATGTTTGTTTTAATCTCATCCTCATATACCATTAGTCCTTCAGAGCAAACACCGAGCATCACATCTGCACCACTGACATCCTATGAACATATCAAACATTACATTAGCCTATATTAAAGACATACACCCAAAAATGAAAATTTTGTCATCATTTATTTACCTTTATATTGTTTCAAGCCCATATGACTTTATTTTACCTTTAAGATGTTCAGAAGCATATTTTTGTTTATACATTGAAAGTCAATAGGGTCCAAAACAACATTGGATCCCACTAACTTTCATTGTATTGACAAAAATGTGAAGACTTTCTTAAAAATGTCTTTTCTGTTCTGCAGAAGACAGAAAGTCGTAAGTGTATAGAAAAAAAAGTCTAATGTTGTTTTGGATCCCACTGACTTTGATTGTATGAACAAAACATTATTTAAAATATCTTATTTTCTATACATTTATATGGGCTAAAAAGACATAAAGGTGAACAAATGATGCCAGAGTTTTCATTTTTGAGATTATCTATTCATGAGATTATCTACTATGAACAATTTCCAAATATTTCCCAAATTTGAGTTCAAGTTGAGTTCACTAAATAAAATTACTTTGGCAGGATGCAGGTCTACTCCATACATGGGGAGCCCCATGGCGTTCTCAAGGAAAAGCATATCTGCCTGGGCAGGACTCATGAATCTGTGTAATAAAAGAAATGTGTGCAGTTGTGTATGTGTTAGAGGACATGTGTGAGTTTGATTGTTGGTACAGGATACCTGTATGTGGAATGCAGCTCCATTATTCTCTCCTCCAACTCTTCACTCTGATTGGGTGCAAGAACAATTTCACTGACATAGTTATTCTGGTGGAGATTTGGGTCATATTCACCAAGTGTTGACTGAACTGTGTATGAACCCAACAGAGCTAGGATGTCTGATGGACAGAGCAGTTGACCAATCACAATATCTTTCCTCAGCTGAAGACACAGGAGATATCTGAGAGAATTTCACAGAACAGTGTGTTCAGTCAACACAGAAAGAAAAACATGCCCAGACGGACAGAACAGAGACGACACTTAAGTGCGAAATGCAAAAGTATGAGGAAACATTAGAAAATAGTGTAAATGAGTGAGATTTCAGTTGAGTGTTGAATATCTCGATGGTTTGTGTCTTATTGTACCTTGTGATGTCTTCAACTAGAATGAAGGGATCAGGCGGGTAAAACTTGATGTTAAAAAAGAATTCAGTTTCTGGACCTGAAACCAACAAATAGGGAACAGATGCAGAGATCAAAACGCAAGAATCTTTACAGACCATTAATGAAATATATGTAAAAAATCACATACTTTTTATCTGTTTTCGGATCTCTTTAGCACAGTCCAGCCATACCTGAATGAATAAACACAGAATGATTACACTTAAAAAAATAAGCTTTTATTGATCAAATATTGAATATAATAGAATCATATGTCAGCCTGAGAAAAAATAAATACCCTGGTACTAGGAGAATCCCACATGAACAGACCATAATAATCCCTCTCCAACAGGTCAAGGTGTTCACAAACTTTATTGAAGAGATCCTGTCCCAGTGCATTTCTCTGTGGAAAGAGAGTATTCAATTAATGTTAATATATATATATATATATATATACCTTATTTATTTATTCATTTATAGTTTTCTTCTTGTAAGCATAAATCTAATTAATTATGATAGATTTCTACTTGAAAAAATAACTATTTGCCATTTGAGTAAAAAAATAAGCTTAATTCATTATTACTATAAGATATTATATTAGGATATTATAAGATATATTATTATAATATCATTATACAGAGAGGTCTTTGTTCAGGTACCTCCAGCTCCCACACAAAGTAGGTGTCGTCTAGGAAATTCACTCGGCACTGCAACATGTCTCAGACTTTTCTCTTCTCTTCTATTTATTCCTCTGGTGGAGTAATTCAGTTGGCTTTGTCCTTTCCTCCACTTTAGGTATCAGGGAATAAGCTACAAAAGTTGAATTCTCTTCAGAACTGCACTTTAGTTCACATTCCTGTTACTGTTTCTATACTGTCGCAGCACACGTCTGTATGAGGCATCATAAGAGGCCCTGCCCTCCTGCACTGTCCCGTTTTGTGATAGTGCTAGGAGTGTTTTAGACAGATATGACCCACCCCTCTCTCTGACACAAACACATATAAATACACGCACATGGCTGTTTACAGTTATGAGTGAGGGAGTCAGTCATCACATGATGAACATTAATTTATTTGTCCATCATGACTGGAGAAAGAGGAGGCAAGGAAGGAGGAATCACTTCCTTGCCTCCGAATAATATAAATGGATTATTTACAGTATTTAATGTGATGTTGCCCGCTCTTTCTGACTGAGATAAACTGATAAGAATGGGTGTGGTAGCGAAAACCTTCATGCGACTCTTTCCTCACGCAACATCTTGTGAGAAAATATGCGCACGGCAATACTGTTTTATATGCCATATGATATGCAGGGCTTGAAGTGACCTTTTAAATAATCCTTTGTTTATATATATATATATATATATATATATATATA